ATTCAATGGGAGACAATTTAATATTCCTCAAAAACTTGAAAAAAAACAAATTGTATTTTATAATATGAACTTTATATACAAATGGTACTAAAAAAAAAAAAACCAAACATGATCGTGATGCAAATATGCATGGTTAAAAAAGGGTGAAATAATTGGATTCGATAATAAAACATATTTTTGAAATACTGTATAGTATAACCACTATGTATAAACAAGTGGGAGATAATGAAAATCTTTGTTGTTTTTTTACAAAAAAGCATAATATAAAAGAAATAATGAGTTTTAATTGTACGAATTCACTTAAGTATGCAAACCATTCTATAAAAGAACATACTAATTTTGAAACAAAAAACAAATTTGATAAAATTGATGGTAGACATAACAAAGTTTTTTTTTTTTTTTTTGATATTTTCATTAACGTTAACTAATGTTAACTATGTTAACTTGTGTTAACTAATGTTAACTTATGTTAACTTATGTTAACTATGTTAACTTATGTTAACTAATGTTAACTGCGTTAACTCACGCTGAATAAAAGGTTCACCCATCACAAAATATAAAGTTCTTAAGAAACAAATATATATATATACATATCTTATTTTTTTTTTTAATAAATTTCAAATAAAGAAATTCATATATTATTTGGAGATCGATGATTTAGTGCTGTTATTGGATAGGGTTCCACTGGAAAAACTTTTTCTATGTTGTTTTCCTGAATTTAGAGTTGTCAAACTATTTACCTATATTCACAAAAAAATTTAAAATTAGCTAATATAGTACATTTCTATACTAAACTAATAAATAAATAAATCAATAAATAAATCAATCAATAAAATGAATGAATGAATAAATAAATCATTCGATCTATCTCCAAAAAAAAAAAAAAAAAAAAAAGGAAGGAAAAAAAAACAAGTGCGTATATATTAGATATTAGATATAACATACAATAGCGGGATTCCTAATTTCATATAAAAATCCTCTTTGGCTATTATTACTATCTTTCAAACCAAATCTTTGTTCATTTCTAATACTTCTGATAGCTGGATACCAACGATTCATTTCTTTTTTATGTTGTCGTTCCGAAGCCACCAAAGCAGCCAAAAAACCTTTTGACACATCAAATTCGGAACCAACTTGAAATTCATTATTATCATCAAATCCATCACCATTATTATCATTTGTTTGTTTATTTCCATTTCCATTTCCACCTGTTGGAATGATTCGACGACGTCTTCTTCCTTCAGCACTATATACTATTTCATTATGATCACCATCACTAAATACTAATGATGCAGAAGCTAATCTATCCAATAGTTCATCATTTTCACCATTATTCATTCCAAATGTTTCACCACAAGTTGTATGATATTTAAATTTATTTGATTCATCAGGATCATCAGTATCTTTAGAATTCTCGAGAACAATTTCTTCTTCATCATCAAATAAAGCTAATAATTCTTCTTCTTCAGAAGACATAGAATTATTATTGTCTTTTGCAGAAGAATGAAACCAGCACATTTTTTCAGGATCAAAAATCATTTTACCAACAACTTGTAATGATTTTGTGTTGGTTGATTGAGGATTCATGTTTGATATTAAGGCGGGTCGTTGTGGAGATGGATCAAAATCTTTGAGAATTGATTCATTACCATCCCATCTTTGTAAAACAGGGTTATATACCATCTCGCCAATTACTATTATTTTTATTAGGAAAAAATTATTAGTTATTATTAGCTATTATTTATTATTTATTATTTGTTAGTTATTTATTAAAAATATTGATAAACTACCTCTGGAATTGTTTTCAGAATTCAAATTACGAATCAGATGTGGCTTTTTTTGACGATTTTTCTGAAATAAAAATAAAATAATTATAAAAATGATTATAAAAAAATAATTATAACAATAATTGCGATATTTATAAAAATTAAATCACCTTTTTACTACTATTTGAATTAGTTCGAGATTCTGTGTTGCTTCTTGTTGAAGTCTTTGATCCAATCGAAGAAGCACTATTTTTTCTATTTGACAAAATTCCCGAATTAGCATCTATGAAATTGAATGAAATTGCATGAAATTAATGAAATAAGATAAAAATTAATATAATGATTAATATAATATACAATAACAACAATAACGAAAACTAAAACTTTACCAAAAGCCGGAGATGTGGGATATTTTTTATAAGCCCGTTCTTTATCCATACAAACAGGTAAATCATCAAATGCATCCAACTCAGTTCCATCACCAAAATTCTGAGAATTATTTGGTTTAAGCATAATACGTAAAGTTTTAGAACCACAATTTTTTTGATTTTTTGAATTAGTCTTATTTACTGTTGACTTTACAGAAAGTGACATTGGAGCAGACTTTACACGAGAATGAGAGGGCTTAGAATTAATATTTAATGATTTTGAAGATTTTGAAGATTTTGAAGATGAGACAGTTGTTTGACAATGAGATTTTTTCTCAAAAGACATAGATGGTAATGAACGATTTGTTTTGACACTTGATAATGAAATTGAAGAAATGTTTGAATGTTTTGTTAAAGAAGAAAATCCAGAAGGTTTTGATTTTAATGAAGGAGATGAAGCCACTTTTGAAAGTCTTGTAGAATCTACAGATTTAGTTGTCGATGAAGACTTGCCAGAAGTAACCGATTTTTTTGATTTTAAAGAAGGATTGAAATTTTCTTTAACACTACCAGTAACATTTGAATTTGAAGTCTTTGAAGTTGACATAGTACGTGATTTTGAAGTCGTAGAACTCTTTGTAACAGATTTTGTACTAGATTTTGAAGAAACTTTTTCTTTAGAAGTTGATGAATTAATACTTTTAGATAAAGTCACATTTGACTTGCACTTTTTCAAAGGAGGAGAAGAAGTTTTAGGAGATACGGTAGATGGACGTTTTGACATCACATTAGTATCTTTTTTTGAATGTGACACTATCTTATTTGGAGAAGGTGGAGGAGTTACAAAAGATGAATTACAATTCTTTTTTGATACCTTCTTTGATAAGAAAGAAGGTGAAGACCGACTACTCCTCGAAATACTACTATTATTTGTAGAAGCCGAACTTTTCTCGGATGATAAAGAAGAATCTTTAGAATGAGATAAATCATCAGATAAATTTACATCAACATTCATATCAACATTCATATCAACATTCATCATATCAATATTCATATCAACATTCATAGAATCAGAAATTGAATTGGAAATTGAAGGAGGAGTAAATTCTATAGTAAAAGATTGTCGCCTTGGTCTTTTTTGTTGAGTAGGAATCGAACGAGGAACAATATTTTTGTGAACAGGTTCAAAAGCATTACCATCTTGAACATCTAATCCGGTCCAAAAATCATTATCATCATCATCATCATCATATAATTTATAATCCATAGAATTGTCTTTAGTAGTATCAGATTGAGAAAGAGGAGATTGTTGATATTCACGTCGAGGAGGAAATAAAGTAAGTCTTTCAATAGAATCAGGAATTTGTAAATCATCAAAACTTTCATCTTCACTTTCGAAATTACTAGAACTTGGAGCAGGACTAACAAGAATACTTAATCTTGAATCTAAAACACCCGAAAAAAGAGTATTACCACCTTCAGAATCGAAAGCACCACTATCATCATCATCATCATCATCAGCACCATAAACTTTTAAAGCATCAGTTGAAAGATTTAATTCATTCGTATCTAATAAATCAAAATCTTGATCAAAACTTTCGACAACCTTTTGAGAAATAGTAGTAGGATCATCAACTCTCTTAATTACAATATTTTTTTTTAAAGTAGTAACAGTAGAGGGTAATATATCAGAAGGTATATTAGAGGGTATAGCAGAGGGGATATCAGAGGGTAGACTAGAGGTTGAGTGGAGAATGTTATTTAAATCCAGAAATTCATCATCCCAACTAACATAATTATTTCTGGAAGATTTAGAAGGAGGAATACAAAAGGATAAACCAGCCTCAGGTATTTCCATATCGTTATCCCAATCATCCATATCTATAACTTTTTTAGAATTATCACCACCTAACTTTGTAATAGTTCCAGAGAATTCATTATTAGAGAAAGAATTTTTTAAATCACCGATAATAGCTTCAACAACTTTTAAGTCATCATCATGTTGACGGAGGATATTTGAAGAATTTGAAGCAATAGAGGAATTTAAAATTGAAAATTGAATACCATCAAGGTTATTAACGAAATTGGAAACATCTAAGAGATGAGGATTTTTATTTTTTGAAGTGGATAAAGAATTTTGAAAAGCTACAGTAGATGATAATATATTGTCAGTGTCATCATCAGAATCAACTATCGTTATACCTGACATATCATCAGTAGCAGTAGATAATATTTTACCGACATCATCATCATCATGAGCATCGGAGATATTATCGGATATTATCAAGCCCGAAGAAGGTATTTCAACATCATCCCAATTTTCCTCGTCAGATTCTATTTGAGCTAACGGAAAGTTTAAATTGGGCGTTGGAGGTATCATTTAATCTTTAATCTTTAATCTAGTAAAATCGATTATTTTTGAAAGAAGTATAAAAGAAGTATAAAAGAAGTATAAAAGAAGTAAAAAAAAAAGTAAAAGAAATATAAGTAACCTTGTTTTTTTTTTAGAAAAGTAATGATGAAAAATAAGAGTTTATATAATTCTCAATTTGTATTCGAAAGAACGATAGAACTTTTTATCTCTTGCTAAAAACAAAAAAAAAAAAAAAAAATCTAACGATAATTTGTTCCCACCGTGATATCAATTTCTGATATTGTATATATTGTAGATATTGTATTCGGAGATGAAATTATGCTAGCAGAATTTAGGAAGAAATGACGTAATGCAAATAAAATATTGTAATTGATTTTGTAAACAATTGTATTATTACTATGAATTAATGAATGTGAATTTTTTAGAAAGTGAGCGAAGGTAAATAAAGAGAAAAATAATCAACTAGAATAACTAGAATGGTTTTTTTTTTTTTTGAAATAATTACTTTTGTTTTTTTTTTTAAAAAAAAAAAGGTTAAATTTTTGTAATCATCGATTTTTTTTATTTTTATTTTTATTTTTATTTTGTTTTTTTTTTTTTTTTTTTATTTTTATTTTTGGCAAGACAAAATTTTAAAATGTATACAAATTCGGATAATTTATTTTCAATAAAAGTAATCGATTAAGATCCATCAGTCAACGACGCATGCTCGTATGCTCGTGCGAAAAGAGAGATTTTTAAGCATACGTTCAGGTCAAAAGAAGGATCGATAGAAGAAAGGTTATGTATTGTTATTTAATAAAGAATTTCAGAATGTCGGTATGATTGTGCGCAATTTTTCAGGGGAAGCCACGAGGGCTTACTTTATAAACTCCTTATT